CCGCAGGGTCACAACACCAGCCTGACAGAACTCAAAATGTTTGGACAATGCTCTCAGGCACATGGTGACTCTTGGGGTGTCTGATGAAGGAAGAAGACTTGATGATCCTTGTGGGTCCCAGTCAACTCAGATTGTTCTATCATTCTATGTATTCTTCCAATAGCTTCTTTTAAGATATATATTTTTACATTCAAGGAAACAATCTCTCTCAAAGGTAATTAAAACACTATCTACTTATTGAAAAGTAATGTTCTTCATGCCACTTGCCCCCGCCTCCTTATTCAGTAAGAGCCGAAATGAAGGAAACAAAAATGAATACTATGTACATAATAAATATCAAGTATTTGCAGTTGGAATATGCTCCAAAATTTATTTTTAGTTCAGCCTCCAAGGCATGAACAGTCTCTTTCAAATGAAAATATATCTTTTCTATTAACTGCTAAACTGCTATTGGCAGTAGTTTTGTGAAAGAGTCCTTAAAACGTAAATTTGCAAAGGTTTCTAAAGCTTTTTTGTACTATCGTTAGAGTAATTTTATTGAACAACAACTGATTCAATTGCAGATTAAAAAAATGTACAGAGATCTATTGTTTCACTTAATCACCAAAAGCATTTAATTCTAGTTTAGTACCTTTCAGAAACATGCAAACATGGCAGTAATGGACTGGCACACTGACAAAATAACTTCAGGTCAAGGAAGCGCTACCATCTATACACTGTAAATCCTTTCCAAAATCATTCCCCCACCCCCATCCTTGCACTTCCTCTCAATAATGGCAGTAGGTTCTTAAAATAACAGCCCATTTGAACACTTGATCTTGTGGCAAGTGCAGCACATGAATGAATCTAATCCTCTCTTTCCCAAAAGGGATCTTTTTGAAAACTGCTTTTTGTTAGTTCAAGTGGATTTAAATGATCAAATTCCAAGCTGGAAAGCCCCATTTTGTTGTTTAAGGAAGCTGGACCAAAAGAAAAAACAACCAACCTATCTGGCAAAGTAAGACTACAATGACAGAGTCAGATTTCCAGATAAGTTCTGTTACAACTGTGCTTGGCAATAGTCTGTGCTATGTAAGTGAGAGCAACAATGGGACTGTGTCAACTTATGCCAAAGGTGGATTTGCCCCATGGCCTTAAAAGTGATTTATTGTTTATAGAAAGAACTTAGTCAAAGGCAGGGTGACAGTGTGGAAAGTCAAGTGAGTCTTAAAAAAACATAATTTCATTATTCTGACAAAGTCTTTCTAAAATATTTTTTTAAAGAGATACTGCTGAGGAGTTAAACCTCCTAACAAAAATTTGTAAATATTATCTCTAAGAAATACCTGCCTTAACACTAGGTATCTTAAATTGATGAGGTACCTAGATCTCCTTATTTTAAGCACATCCATTTTATTCATGTAGACAAGTCACAAAGTAAAGGACCTAAATGTTAGGGACTAAAGAGGACACAAACAGGAAATTTTGGTGGTAATGTCCAAAACTGAGCCAAAGCTGGAGCACATCATAGCAGGTGTCATGGGATGATACATACAGTACACAAAAGGACTAATAAAGAATACCCTCGGTTCTGGTCTTTGTTCCTTTCAGTTCAAGAATTTTATAATAGGAAGCCATATAATTCTAAAATAAAAACTTAAAAGTACTTCTCTAAGCATGAAAAATTACCCTCTCCATCTTAGGTTTAAAATAATGCACTATATTACTATATGTCAAAAATCTGGACAGCATTGAAAATTTTGTTTGTAGGGTTGTTAACAAAAAGACTGAGAAAGAAAAGTCTTAAAAGAAACATGTCACGCCTTAAGGGTACACACAATGATGGAGCTAACAAACCTGTACTGCAATGTGTAATTGTTTCTCCTTTTTGCTTTCAAGCACATTCCAAAGTCTTTAATCACATTATGCACTCTGTTACATAACTGAATCCACCATGTTCTTCTGGTTAGTCAGCTTCATCCTAACTAAGTATACAAATGCATGAATATATACTCACAGGGATCAATAGAATACTCATGCAAAGAGCTACCTTCCCAGATGGCACCACAGACAACTTCCTAAAATGTAACCAGCAAAATCACACGAGCCTCAGGAAGTTCACAAGGCCAAGCGATGGTGCTGCACCTGGGTCAGGACAAACCCAAACACAGAGAATGGACAGAGAGCAGCCCTGCAAAGAAGGACTTGGGGGTGCTTGTGGACAAGAGGCTGGACATGAGCCAACAACATCAGCTCACAACCCCTGCTCTGCATCAAAATAATTCTGTGGGCAGCAAGTCAAGGAAGGTGATTCTGCCCTCTGTTCTCATGAGAGGGAGCATTAGTCCATCCCATGCCTCTCCAGGCTGTAGACAGGAGTTGTGCAAGACAGTGCCATGTATTCTGCACAAGTCCAGACAGATAATGATATTGCTCTTCCCTCATGCATCACAGCTGAGACCCAACTACAGAAAGCCAACAAATTTGTCAGCCATTATTTGCCTTTATTGAAGCCATTTTGGCTGTCACCAATCACTGCTTTATTTTCCATGTGCAAGGCTCATGTGACAAGGCTCTGGAGAGACCTTGTAGTACCTTCCAGTACCTAAGAGGGAGCCTACAATAAAGCTGGAGAGAGATCTTTTACAAGGGCATATAGACATAGGACAAAGTGAATGGCTTCAAACTGAAAAAGGGTGGATTTAGATGAGGTAGTAATAAGAAATCCTTTACTGTGAAAGATGTGAGGCACTGTAAGAGGCTGTGCAGAGAGGCTGCAGAAGAACCATTCCTGAAGTGTTCAAGGCTAGGTTGGATTGGGCTTTGAGCAACATGGCCATGTGCGGGTGTCTCTGCCCATTGCAGGGGGATTGGAAAGAGATTATCTTTAAAGTCTCTTCTAATCCAAGGTTTGTGAAATCTGAGCACAAAGGTGGACAGCTCTCCCAAAAAAGCCCTGTGCAGATCGCAATTTCCCAGCACAGGAGTTGCTGATGTTACAGGTGGGGTAGCTAATAAACCAGCACCGTGCTCTTGCAGCACATCAACAGACCTCAGTGCTGGGGTGCAGAAGGGTCTAATCCTTTAAGCAGAGCTTCTGAGGCCGGGCAAAACCAGCTGTGTCAGGCACTCAGACACACAGCAGGTATGAAGCATTAGTATCACACGCAAAAATGATGGCTGAACTCCATTTGGTACACACCAAAAAATATTCTGGAGTGATGAAAACACAAACAAGACATAACTCAATATTAATAAGACATGCTGGAGAACATTTCTGGGCAACCTTTGGTAGCTATGTCTCTCCAGGTTAGTGTCATTGCTTCCACACCTGTCAGTCTCTATCTTTCAAAACATAGACAGAAATAACCTGAGCAGGTCAGCTAAATTTCCCAAAGCACTGGGAACAGAATGAGACTTGACATTCTGTATTTCTGCATCACAGCAACCCTGCTTTTCTTTCTTCTCTCTCAAGCTGCCTTTTAAACCACAAGACAGAAAAAAATTTAAAAGTAAATGACAGTCAAATGGGCATACAGAACAAGAAGCAGCAGAGATCTTTATAGAACTAACTCACATTTCCTCCAAGCAATTGAAAGAAGTATTTGCAACTGCATTATTAGTAACACCATCATTTATATAAATACATGCTGTGAAGAAAGAGTGAGTGAAAAAGGGAATTTTTTAATTGTAACCATGTAAAACTGAAAAATTGTTGCACCAATACCTAGCTACATTCTTATAGTTCAGAGATACTGATAAATTCAGTCTTGGGTGGTTCCCTAGAAAATTTCATGGGATCAATTTATACATGAAACTTGCAAAGTAGGTGTTACACTGGATACACTGGATACAGAATGCAGCTTAAAAAGACTTTAAGAATTGAGGTCTGAATTGATGTTGATTGTAAAAATATGAACTGCTAAATATAGCTGTAATTCTGAAGATTCAATGACCAAAAGAAAAACATATGTGTGCAACTTTTAAAAATTAAAAAGCCATTAAAATATGGAGGAGAAAGCTTGCTTGGCATAATTGATGACTTGGACTTCTGCAGTAAGAAATTGCAGGTTATTATGAGTCAATCCTTCACTCAGTTCCCTCAGATGCAGAGCAGAAATAGAGCAGATGTAGGAAATTGAACCAGAACAAGAAAGAAGCAGAGTATGACTCAATAAATGCAATCCAGAGGTAATTTATTAGAACTTAAGAGTTGGGTATAAGTTGCTTTGTGCTGCCCTTCCCAAGACTAAGCTGCCTTGCGGTGTCCTTCCAAGTCCTCCTTTGCCTACATCTCTACAGAATTTTATCAAGGTTTTGGTTCTGTCACAGGACGCCTGTTTCTCACCTATCCACCAAATCATCTTTCTGTGACATACACAAGAAACTGTAAAGACAACAATCTTTTGGCTGTAGTTTTCTTAGAATCTTTTATCTTCCACAATTCAGAGTGTTCACAGGAGAACAAGAGGAAGAACAGAAGATATATATGAAATATATATCAAAAGGAATTTCATTTACACAAAACTTTCATTAGCACACTTCAGTCAAAAAAAGAAACACTTGGCAAATCCTTAGCATCTGCAAGATTTTAAAGCTGTCACCATAGTTTCAGTTCAGCCAAACCCAATAGCATGAAAATATATCTTAATTTCTATCTTATTAAAGTAATGCCCATGGGGAAAAATATCCCCAAAGATTAATACATTTTTGGAGTGTGCAATCTGCAGTGTGCCATGAAATTTGAAAATACCCTGTTGTAAAAGGAGCCCACTCTACCCAGTAGTTAACCTTCAAGTTACCTCAATGGGTTTATGATTTTGAAACGGTGTTTTAAAGGTAGAATTACAAATCAATATATTGATAATTGCAAATCAAGACTTGCAGAATGTGTTGTGCTTCAGAACAAAAAGAAACCTTCATTTTCAGGATAGTATCTGGTTTTTAAATCACAGCAGTAGCACACCTCTAGGGCTGGGGTTTTCCACAAGTTAAATCACAGGTTTTGGTCGTGAACTTACACAGTTTTGCCCTCACTGTCTTGTTTGGTGGCACTGGCTCCCTTTTTACCCAGCAGTGAAGCCACTTTCTCAGGGTCTCCATTCTCCACTGCCTGCAGCAGCCGATCATCATTCTTATTCCACTCGTTGGTCTGAGTAAAAGGAAAAGAAAGGAGAAATATTATCAGTACCAGCTCTGTGTACAGGCTCTCCAAAATGATCCTGCACACATTTATCACCACTGAAAGCTTAAACAAAAGCCCAACCCAAAGAAATAGCACAGACAAAGCCACATAAAAGTAATCTGCAAGCTGTGCAGCAGAGGTTCCCAAGGACTTGATGGCTTAAGCCAGGGCCTAAGCAATGACTGAAGATGAACTGTTACTTGGAAACTCTGTAGATGAGTGGTGCAGGAAAAAAATAACATATTTTCTTAGTCTATTTTCAAACATTGTCCTTTATTTTTCCAGTCCTGGCTTCAATTTCAGAGCTGTACCAGCCCCATTGGACCTTCACTACATACATCACATGGATAAGTAATGAGGTGCCTCATCTTATCCAGACCCCACCCTAACAACGCAAACCAGCCAAAACTTTCCATATTAAAGGCTTTTCCTAGCTCACATTTTGTAGAGGCTAATGGGTTAAGAGACTGCCCTTTGCAGACTGCAGCTAGCTTTAATGAGTTTTTAATCCCATGTTGGTCTTTAAAACAAACAAAAAAACCACTCACACACTGCTACTGAAAGAAAAGAAAACCACCCTACTTTCAGATCTTTCCAAACCTACTCCTCTATATCTTTTTGATCCCTCTCAGCAGCTGAATCAAGAACAGGACATGACTTCCCAACTTGATGACTCCCCCTCCTCCTCTGAACCACCAGGACAATTGCCCATTTCCTCTAAAAGGCGTCCAGGTAGAACCTAGCAAGATGCTAAGAAAACAGAGGACAGTTTTCTGTATTCCATGTGATCACAGCAAAATGAGCTCTGGAAAAGGAGTTGCACACAACTGGACTAACAACAGTGTTCAGTCTCCAGGAAAAACAACCTGGTGTAGTTAAAAAGCTGCATTTGAAGCAGTATTAGCACCCAGCTACACTCAGGAGAGTTAACTTCAACAGCTGTGGCTTTCTCTTTGACACCAGTCAGCTCATCTCCAGCATGACTGTCTATTCATGAGCACTTGATTTGTACACAACTTCTGAAATTACTGAATTCATGTTAATACCTTGAGAAATACTTAACTTAATAAAAAAACAATAAAAAACACACACACACACCTCCCCACCCAACATCTTGTTCTGATGTTCTGTATAGACTTTCTTCCTCCAGATAAATAAAAACTTTGACATTTCTCTCTCTGGACTTGTGAGGAAAAGTGTATGATGTGCATATTTATATGAACTAACCCTATAGGATGTTTACACCCTGAAAAACAGGAGGAAAGTGCTCCAGGTTAAAAGTTATTAAAAAAAAAAAACAAATTAAAAGAACCATTAGGGAGAGTGCAGTATGGGCAGGAGAGCAGACAAGTTGGAAGAACACCACCTGGAACCAAGAGTACAAATGGCAGCTCTGTCCAAGGAAGCAGCATTCAGACACAGCAACTGCACTCTGCTATGGGAGTGAATGACTGGTGGGTCAGTGCACATCCAGCAGATCATAGTCTATATTCTTATGGCACTGCAATAAATTTATATGGACTCTGGAGCACTAATTACATCGGCAAAAATAATAGTTTCTCTAAGCAATATTTAGACTCCATGACAATGAGTGGCCAGCCTTCCACCCAAAATGAGACTCATTGCCTATTCTGCATTTGGGGAATTTCATGCTTTAAAGGCAGCCTGTTATTAAAAACAGGTGTTAAAAAAATGTATCTTAGTTGTAAATAAAAAAACATTAAAATTAACACTCTTTATTTGACAGTACATCTTTCGGAGTTTGTTTTGGAGTTTGACCTGTTTCTGAGTTTCTTTATTATTCAGTCATGTATGATATTTATATACAGGCTATTTGATTAATCAACCTTAATCTACACACACATCCAGTGCAATACTACCTGAAATCACCGATTTACTTTTGAAACATGAAATTGAATAAACTACAGGAAAATGTTAAGACTAAGGCCTGCTGAAAATCCTTGACAGAACAGCTTTCAGAAGAACATTCAGCTTTAGAATACAAAATGGCCACATCTTCAAGAATATCGAATATTCATCTTCGTGAATATTCCTTCAATAGTCAGCTATTAAATTGAAACATTATTGGCATATAATCCAGTATTCAGTGTTCTGATACAAGCAAGTAAGCACACAAATACTGACTCCCATATTTAAGAAATATCTGAGAAAAGTGTCAATTTCCTCTTGGAGAAGCTTCTGTGGTAACTGTATTCATCTATAATTATACTATCATTAAAATCCCAGACCAAATAGAAATGAACACAACTGCGTCCCAAATTACCCCTCAGTATTTATGTAGTGTGGAAGCTGCACTTAGGAGATACTCAGATATTGAATAGAGATCCCTGGAGTACTCTGAAAGTGATTCTGATGATGCAGAGCAATGTTCATACTAACAGTAAAACATTTTATTACATATGGAATCACTCTTTTACAAGAACAGATTCTTGAGCTCATCTTTATTTCGACCATATCCTTTCTGGTATCCTAAAATGAACACTCATACAGAAACACAATGTAGGAAAGACTTAATGAGGCCTCAACTAAAAACTGTTGCCTACTAATCTGTACAGCTGAAAAGATTCCCTCATATTTGAGAAATAAATAGAACTGAACTTGGACAAGCCATTAAATGACCCTGAAAACACAATTGGTAGTATCAGATGTATCTTAGTGTCAAGGAAAGGGTATCAATGTACATTTCTTTATTTTTCACACAGAGCTGGAGAATTAATTACTTTTCCTGCTTAGAGGAACCTGGTAGAGGCTGGTGGCTAGGCTAGATCTGTATTTGACAGTCATTTTAGATTCCTGTTTTCAGTTCTAGATCTAATTAGTATTTCTTCTTTCAAGCATTGTAACTCAAGAGATGTTAAAGGAATGACTAATTTTAGAGACTGCCACATACCTAAATCCACTTATATTTGTTCTTGCAAATGCATGTTTAACATCCATTACACTACTGTACATGAAACTTTGTTTTGCTCCTGGAAAACAAAATACACGCTGTTTCTCTTTATCATCGCACAGCAGTTATACTTATTTATAAACTAAAATATCTGTGTCCTACCCAAGATGTTTAAAAGCCTCACACTGTATTGCTCACATAAAGTTGTTGATCTTTTCATTAAAGCAATAAAGATTCCATTCTAAGGCACCAATAATATATCATCACTGTAATTGTAGATTAAATGTTAATTTTATGCAAGCCACAAAAACTATTTAGAGACCTTGTTTTATTTTTGAAATTAAATTATACACAAATCTGTTCACACAGAAAAAACAAGCATGCAGGCATCAACTGTTTTTCAAATATTCCTCTGATAGGATCAAACTGGTTTTTTTCTTCCTCATTGTGCTCAAAGACCAGTTATGCATTCCAAAAGTTAAAGGGACAGCCAATAAAATAAATGGCACATAATAGACTCCCAAAACCCCATTTTAATATGGAATCATAGCCCTACTCTTCATTTCTTCAGGGGAAGAAAAATCTCAAAGAACAGACAATACAAATGACACCCAGAAAGACACTGTGCTCAGGATTTGCCAAGCAAGTAGGAGGTATTTAAGTCAGTAGGGTTCTTAACGTGCCTCATGCAATTAAATATTGCACAGGCCCTGCTGTCCATAGCAGATCAGAAAACCCAGATTTCTGAACAGAGGCAGTGACTGCTGCATTACATTACATTCCTGGAATCTCTTGAAATATTAGTCTGGTTTTGACCTCACAAGTCACACATCATCAAGCATACACCAAAGACTTGGGAGGTAACTTCTGCTGGGATGATACAAAACATGGGTACTCCCTGTTACTGTTCATTGTAGAAGTCAGTTCACCTTGAACTGACACCCATCATGCAGAACCAGCATTTGTCTATCCTGGAAAACACGCACTTGGGAGGCGCTCTCTTCTGCCAGGAGTACAGGATGGCCAGCAGAACTGGAGACCTTAACTTCATAAACCCACTGTGTTTCCTCCACTGCAGTCCCCAAACCTTCCCATTCCACTTTTCCCAAACTGCCCAGACATTTCTGCTGCCCATTCTTCAGCTGTGTGCCACATACTGCCCCCTCTATCTAAAGATTCCTCACTTGCCTTGCTTTCAGATCTCATCCAAACAGCATGGCATCAGCCACCACACAGCCCTTGGGGAGCTTCAGCTCTGTTATACCACTCACTCATGTAACATAAAAGAGTGCTTTCTTTTCTGTCAGAGAGGTCTCCATGCATAACATTCTGAGACAACCCATGCAGAACACTTCAAACTCAAGTTTGGCACAAAATAGTAGCACAGTCTTTAGGAATACCTTGACTATAGCACAAGAGCAACAAAACCAACAGCTAAGCAGGTACTTTTCATCACCAATAAAGCTGACGGTTCTGTTGTTTTGTTTGGAGATGGTTATGGCTTGTTTTATGCTAAGACTGCTGCAAATACGCAAGTTCGTCAACTGAGTATGTAGCATTCTAGTAAAAAAACCCAAACCTGAGCATCTCAGCATAAACACATATGTGTAATGAATTTGGAAGAATCTAATCCTAGAAAAGACTGCACATATGAGTTCTCTTCACCTCCATTCCCACCCTACACCCACCTCCCCCAACACTCCTGTAGGCCACGTGCCAAACAGTTATCAACAGCCTTCCTTCAAACAATTAACATTTTGCAATAACAATGGCTTGTGAATACATGCGAAATAGAAGAAACACATATTTCAGTTTCAAAGATCACAGCCAATGCTCCACTCAGTACTTCTTCAGGTTTGGGGGAGGGGGAAATGTTAGTCTGTTGTTTGTTTGGGTTTTTTCAAATGTGTATAGTATATAGTGTTCAGTATAGGTAGCAATAATGAGTACTACATATGCAGAGGAAAAGTAATCTGATCAAAGCTCAAGATGTGCAAGTTTTTGGATAAAACAGATTTTTTTCCTATTAATGTGTAAGGGATGAGATAATCTGTCA